AACGAATCGAGTTTTATTATTTTAATAAAATAATACTTGATTAGGCTCGGTGGTATGAGTTCTGGATTTTTTGCTGACGTTTCGGTACCAAATCTGCTACCGTTGTCGAAGCTTGGGGGATTGAAAACCTAAAAAATAATATTTTTTCTACTGACGTTTCATAATAGCGACTTTTCGATTGTCATTTTAGTTTTTAAATGGCATTCTTTTAAGCACTAGTGTGTAAAAGTGACACTTTTAAGCACTAGTGCGTAAAAGTGACACTTTTAAGCACCAGTGCCTAAAAGTGTCACTCATTGTTCAGAAATAAAACACACAGATTTGAATTTTGTCTATTTTTTCATAAATGTTGTCAATGCAATTATTTGAACTACTAAAGTAAACGTTTGGGTTACTCAAAACAGAACTTTCTGTTGTTTTTTTCAATAGGATTTCAATTTTCAATCAAAAAAACCTCATGAAAGATGTCAATCAAAAGCAGGTGCCAAACTTTTTTGGCGCGATCGGCTCTTATTTACGAGGAATAAAATTATGTTTTTTTTTTCAGTATGAAACGCCAGTAGAAAAAATCTTGTATACAACACGTAACGAAACGATGTCTTTTAGTCACTCTACGTGTTGTCCAACTCGGCTACGCCTCGTTGGACAATTTTCACGTCGCGTGCCTAAAAGACACTCATTTCGTAACTTGTTGTATAAATAGCTATTTTAGGTTTAATAAAACTCGATTCGTTTATAAAAAGTCGACTCGAGTAATTTATTTTATAAAAATAATCTGATAGGTAAAATTGCTCTAATCAGAGAGCTTGTAGTAATTCGTATCAAAATCAAGAAACTTCTGGTATTAATTTCAATTGAGGTGTAAGTCCCAAAAAATGCAAGGTAATATTATAAATCCACCTCAAACATACAGACATTTGTTATCAATGGGCTCTTTCACTAAAATTTAAATAGGTACGTAATAGACCCTGAGATAGGGCCTGTTTAGTGGAGTCATTTTTTTTTGTCTGGCATTTTGAGGGATGAATGTGACTAGTTAGCTGACGAGAATATAGGTGGTTTTAATTCCTGCCACCTGTTCGAAATGTCCACAGAATGTTTCGCCGGAAAACTCGATTTCGAACTGTGATTACCGTCTGGCGATTTTTCAGCGTTATTTTCACAACAAAACCTTTCATTCTCTCGATTGCCAGACAAAAAGTAAACGCGGAAGGTTCTTTTCTTTTCTCTTGGAAGTTGATACTCATCCCCATTTTTTCAGCTATTGAAAAGCATCTGATACTTTTCGTGGGTGAATTATTTATCAATGTCAGTATTTTATTTAAAAGCTAGAAAATTTGAGATCATTAAAAAAAAAATTCTCCATGTAAATCAATTTTTTTTTCTGCAAATTTTCGAACGGGAGGCCGGCATTAAAATCACCCATATTCTCATCAGCTTATACATTCACGGCCATTTGCACCGGTACAACTTAAGGGACATTTAATCCAAGTGGAGATTTGAATGTGACTCTCGTGGAAACAAAAGTCACATTCAAAAGCTCCACTTAAATTAAATATCCCTTAATATCCCTTTTAAGTGATAGCGGTGCAAATGGCCATCAGCCCTCAAAATGCCAGACAAAAATAAATGACTCCACTAAACAGCCCCTATCTCACAGTCTATAATTTAAGATAAAATCCTAAAGGAGGGACTATTTTAGGCATTTACATATACCAAAAAAAAAAGATCCACAACGTGAAATAAGTTGTTTACAGGCATTTGAAATTGGCCAAATTCAAAATGATTTAAAACGCGCCAAGTGATGACGTCATATAAATAATTTCCATTTGGCCCAAGTTGCTGCAAGCAGCTCATCGGATCGGCTGTGTACCGTGTAGTAAAAGCATCTAAAGGTTCGAATGCGCTGTTGTCGGTTGTGCATGAATGTAGTGCGAAATTGATTTAAATTGTGTTTATGCATAATTTAAAAAAAAAAAAATTCTAAAATCTTGAATACAAAACTAATTGATTTAACTACTTTTCATGGTATTTTGCCAACATTTTAGAATTAAATCTATTACAAATTTTCAATATTGATAATTAGTGGCAACACGGTCAAAATGCTAGCCGCGACGTCATAGAAATAAATTATGGGTTTTTATTCGAAGGTATTTCTTTTTTTTCTATTTTCTCAATAAGGACTATGAATTTTCCAATAGTAAAAATGTAGAAAATTCTGTTTTAAGTTGCTTTATCCAATTATGCCAATTTCAAAAATTAGTGAAAGAGCTCATTAGACGCTAGCTATTATGTCACAAATCACATAACGTCACTTTCGATAGGATAGGGGGACAAACATGTCATTGGGACAAACAAACGTTAATAGGTTTGTTCGGACTTCGTTCAGAATAAGTTCTGAAGTGAACTGCGCTTGCGCATTTGTTCATATCGAACATAAATGAACAAATGCGCATGCGCAACTCAAATCAGAACTGATTCTGAACTAAGTCCGAACAGACCTATTAACATTTATTTGCGTATTTGTGTAAACAGTCCTTGAACGCTTTTGTTGTCCCCCCGTCGAAACTGAGGTTATGTGTGTAACGTTAGCCAGTGCCTAATTACTTGAGTGAAAAAAGTTACTTTATACACATATTGCATATAAGTTTTTTTCTACTACCAATCAAATTTGCGTAAAAAAAAATATTTTTAGCCAAAAAAATATCTACTATTGACAGTTCAAGCGCATTTTTGTTTCCTTTCGTTTGCGTTTGCCGTTTACGGAGAAACGTAATCAGTAGATTTGTCACAAGATTTGTTTTCCCACTAACATATTAACACGTTCACTACCGCCGGCTACTATAGTGGTCATTACGGTTTCCTGTTGTGAACCGCGGCCACTAATCTGGCCATATATTCCTACTTTTTTATTCACTAAAATTTTGAAGCGGATCGTGAATGGTGCGGTTATTAGGTACTTTGGTCCATTCCTAATGTTTCTTGTCCGCGCAGAGCCACTATAGTGGCCTCTGGTTCTTTAGCGTTGCTGTATTTTGTGATACATGCCAGGTGTATTATAGTGCGTTTCCTTTTATACTTCCATCGGACCAACCACTCCAAGGTAAAGGACTCAATCCCGTACGATCCAAAGATAGCACAAGATCGCATAAAGACAATTCCTTTAATAATTCTCGTTGAAAGGAACACTTTCACTTTTCAGGAACTACTCAACAGAGAATCACAAATTACAGATGATATCTTCAACGGAATTCCACAGAAACCAATACAACAAGAACTGAGCAAGGTTCCTAGATTAGAGGAGGTTGAAAAGGCAATCAGACAACTACAGAACAATAAATCAGCTGGTATGGACGGCATTCCTGCTGAATTAGGTGCCCAAACTCACATACTAATAAGTAAAATATGGGTTACTGAGACTGATACTTTTCTGTAATATAGGTATTTCATGGAATCGGATGTATTTTCCTATATTATGTTCAAGGCCATTAAAATGGCCGTTGGTCTATTCTGATGTCAAGCACCACTCACAGACCAGTGGCCAATTTAATGGCCTCAAAACAAAATGGCGGAATTTTATTTAGTAACACCAACTGATCTTATCTGTCTAAAAATCGTTCAAATATTCATAATACTTTTAAAGATTGGTCCATAACAAGTGACAGCCCTTTAACGCTCGGTAGTGAACGTGTTAATTGAAAGCAGCCGAACTTGTTACGAAATTTTCCAAAGCTTTTTTGGCACTGCTTACCTAACTACAACTTTGAGAATACGCCGCTGGGGTTAGCAACAAACACCAGCTGCAATAGGCCACTTTCATTCTCCGCGCACTCATATTACCGCTTTGGGCCAGCTTTTTTAGTTCACTCGTGACCGCTGATGGCTCTGCTGGTCTCATAAAACAGAGGTTATGAAAACGAAAATGAAACAAATACCGAATCCTTCATCGGAAATGTCATTGTCATTTGGTTTTGTCGTTCATTCGACATTTCAAATGTGTTTCAAAATTTGAATTTAAATTATCTTGTTCTGTGACAAACCTCTGCAAACAGTGGCAAAGATGAATAGAGGCCCCGTCGCCATATTTTTGAAATTTCAAATATGAATACATGGGAATTATTGAATATAAATGAATATCTATCATCAAAATTTGAAGGTAACGTATTTCTCTGACTAAAATTTGAATACGTTATTTTTAATTTTTTATGATAGATATGGATATCTGAGGGGATATTCATTTATTTCCTATTATTCATATCAAAAATTTGCAGGAATATGGCGGCGGGACCTCCATTGTCGCCACTGTTTGAAGAGGGTTGTCAAGTTACTGTAAAAATTACAGTGAACTATCGATAACAAAGTGCCATCTTTCGGAGAATGACCGAACTACTATTTATAGTTCACTCTCAGTCAGCAGAGGGCGCTAAAATACGACATGATATGTCAACATTGGAGAGTCCAGTCTATTTACCCCCTATATATATTAAGGCCGTTTTACAGCTTGCAATTCTTTCTGCAATATGCAAGAAACTTGAACGAGGGCATGCGCAGAAGTGAGCCAGCTGATTGATTTCTGCAAGATTCTTGAAACTTGAATGGCATTGCATGCAATCGGTTTGGTGCCATTTTTGTTGAAGGTTTTCGTGCAAGCTGGGGAATTTTTAGCAATTATGATGCTTAAAGTTGCTGCTATTGCTTTCTTCTTTTTATATCGACTTATAATCACTTTTTTTATTTTTGGAAAATGCAAACATCAACAACACAACATTAAAAACAAAAAAGTATGGTTAAGGTTAGAGAAAGAAATAAGTCAAATTGCAAGGTGTAAAACGACGTGCAAGAAATCTTGAATGCAATTTTCAAGATTTCTTGCATTCCAGTTTTCTTGCAAGCTGTAAAACGGCCTTTAGTCTATGGCCACTTTCACGTGCCAGAAATATGGCAAATTATGATATTCTTTCGCTTATAATGACAATATGCCATGCCAAATTTTATTAAACATGACAGCTTATTTTTCATCCGTATTTTCCATTGTAATAATTTGTTTTCATTGTAAAATCATCTCCACGCAAGATGATGTAAGTAATCTTACTTCTAACTATCTCGGTGCCGATCAAAACCGCGATTCTATTACTCCCAATACCAGTCATAACGGCAGCGCAAAAAGTGATGATCAAAGCTTACGTGTAATAGGAGGATATCAATGTTCAACAAGAGAACATGGTTTTATGGCAATGTTGCTAGAACAAACTAATAATGGTAGATGGCTCAGACCATGCGGATGTTCCATCATACAACCGAAATGGATATTGACCGCTGCTCATTGCATCAGATATATTGAGAGAAAGTATGCAGTAACAGTAGGTATGCATACAAAACGTAGAAAAGTTTTAGCCAGAAGACACATAGTACATCCCGATTTTGACCCCAAAACTTTTTTAAATGATATTGCCCTATTAGAATTGGAGGATTCTCTCAGTGAAATAGACGGAATCAAATTTGTTAAACTCAATACAGCTTCTAATGGTGAGCTTGATCCCATTTGCAAGGTAGCTCTGGTAATTGGGTGGGGCATAACGGGAGACAACAGACTTGCTGAGCTAGACGATCTACAATGCGCAGATATTCCAATGTTGTCTTCTCAAGAATGTGCGAAAAAGTTCAGACAGCATCATAAAATTTACTTGCCACGTAATCAAATTTGCACGCTGTCTACAGAAGGAATTGACGCATGCCAAGGAGATTCTGGCGGACCACTATTATGTGACTCGACTCAAATTGGTATTGTTTCATGGGGGATTAGTTGTGCTGAACCAACTAATCCAGGAGTATATACTGATGTTGGCAAATATTTGCCGTTTATTGCCAAATATTTAGACTTGGATAGTGAACCGAGAGCTGAAGGCTCTTTGAATTCTAGGTGTACGATTTACGTCAATTTTATTTGCTGTGCTTTACTAATTTATTATTGGAAATTAACAGAAATATTACTTTGATGTGAAACTTACTTTCACAATACATAATAAATCACGCAAAAATTATTATCTAAGATTTTTCCACTTTTTCAGGCAATCCTTGATTTTTGTTCTACCTACTTCTACTGTCATCATTAAGATGACGTCCATTCATTAACTTGTAGATTGTGGGGAAGTCGTTTCGGCTTTTCAGCCGCTCAACACTGCCAGCTTTGCATAAGTTGTCTCCAAGAAGCGTAGACTTCTGCCGAAGGAAGCTATTTTCCTGGGTGTCAGTTGGCCCACTTCTTCCCTCTGCGGTCTCTATTGCGTCTGAGCAGAATCTACAAAGATCGTCTTCTGCTCTGCCCATTAACCTTAAATGGTATTTTACCAGGCAGTGTCCTGTGAGCAGTCCTACCACCAATCTGATGTCTGGTCTGCTCATGTCATGTTTAGGAGTTGTTGAGCTCTTTTTGCTAAAAAGGTGATAAACCTTTTTGACTGCCTTAGTCCCGGAGTGTGGCTCCAGTATGATGATAGTTGGTCTTTCACCCATTTGTTGAGTTCTTCCATGATGTGGCTTTTCATTAAGCCACAGTAGGGCTCTGGTCCATGGTATGGTGTTGAGGCCCCTTCTTTTGCGAGGCCATCTGCTTCTCCGTTTCCTTCTATGCATCGATGACCAGGCAGCCGCATCAGCGTTACCTGGTTGTGTGTCGCTAGTGCTTTTAGGGTCTGTTTACACTCCCAGACTAGTTTTGACGTGCATTTGAAAACCCTTAAGGCTTTTAAGGCAGCTTGGCTGTCCGATAGTATGAAAATGTGTTTTCTTTTGAGGCTTAGGTTGAGACTCTTGTGCACATATATCTTTGGCAAGCAGTTCGGCTTGAAATATTGGGCCGAAAATGCCCAGTCCTTCCATTAGCTTTGATAATGTCTTAATCAGGTGTGTTATCATTTTACATGTTTAGTGTTGCCGCGAACGAGACGAGAATTTGCTCTCTCGTCTTATCTCGAAGGTTTGAGAGAAAATGAGTCTCTCGTCTCGACGAGAGACCCGCGATACGATACGAGAGTGCTCTTCTCTCTTCTAGTCTCGCTTTCTCTCGTCTCTTGTGAGTTTTGACGCAAAAGAGGTTAATTTCCTCTCCAAGGTCAAGAAAATGTAAAAAGTGTATCCTCGCTCTTCGATGAAAATGTAATATTAGTCATAATACCCAAGGTTCTGGAAAATATTGAAATTTTCCAGCGGTGTGGGCATTTACGTACTTTTTTATCCAAGGATTCGGGACACCACTGGAATAATCAAGCTTCATTTAGTTACGGTTTTGTTTTTGTGCTATAAATAGACTTTTTTTCTAAAATTCAAATAACGCTCTGTATCTCAAAATGAATTCCCAATTTCCGGAGACATATCAATAGGTTTTTTTTTTTTAACATAAGGAATCGCACCTTGATGTAAGTAATGTCCGTGGCATGGTTCTTGAGCTATACGACTACTGAATAGACAGAGGGGACAGTGGGCTATTGCCCGTTGTCATATCAATAATATTTATCAATACATGAAAATTGCAATAAAATCTCCTTCATTTTCATGTATTAATAAATATTATTGATTATATTGATATGACAACGCAGCAATAGCCCATTGTCCCCTCTGTCTATTCAAGCTGGGTTCGGGATGGCCCAGCAGAGCTCGAGTAGAGTTGGAGTGGCGTTTTTATCACGTGAACAAAAAGCTTTTGGAGTGTATTAGTGAAACCGAACGGCCAAGGTGCATTTGGAGTTTCCTAACTTAACCTCACCCACAAAATGACAAGTATTATTTTAAAAACAACAAACTTTTTTCCAGTCTTTTCTATGAATTTTTGGTATTTGGTGCCTATATTTGATTTTGTTGAGGACGTTTATTTCGCAGACTTGTCTGAAGAAGTCATCAAGATTATCATTGGAAATTTCAATGAAAGTACGCGTTGCTTGCATGTCAAATAAGCAGTTTAAAATCCATTCCATTTCATCCACTTACCTAGAAATTACAGATTAAATATTGATTTGTTGACTGTCGATTAGTCGAATAGTCGATTGTCGCAATTAAAAAAATAGGATAAATGACACAAAATCACGAAAACGCACACAGTGCGCATGCCCGCTCCGGCGCTTGCTGATGACGAGGTGGTGCTTTTAGAGTCACCTCTTTTGACTCTCGCACGTCCTTCCCGAACGCATGTGGAGTTACTCTTTTAGCTCAAAATGACAAAACCCGAACGCATCGGGAGTGTTTAGTGCACTTGGAGTTTATAGAACAGTCATCCCGAACCCACCATCAGTAGTCGTAGCTCAAGAACCATGCCACGGACTTTAGCGGTTCACACAAAAATTTTTTTTAGAACCTTGTTATTCATATGCTTAGTGGCTAAGGACATCTTGACTCGCGCCTACTCTTTATTAGTTCTTTATCTAACAAATGCGGAAAGTGATACTTTACCGCACGCAGCGGCAGTTGACCCAAAGACACAAAGCAGAGTTTGGTAAATTTTATCGCACCGCACACTATAATGTAAAGTAACTTAACCGCACACTATGCAGTCTATTCTACCACACACTAAAGTAAAGTTACTTTACCGCATACTGTGCGGTAAAGTGCTATTTTCCATTTGCAAATAAGTGCGGTGAAGTGCACTTCACCGGACTCTCGTAGGTAAAATTATTATAGAGCCACTAACAATATTTAAACTCGCCTACACTTTAAAATTTTAAAAGCAGGACTCTAATGATTTATAGCAGTTATTGAACCAAAATACAATAATTTTGACGTAGTATTCTCTCGTCTCGCCTTGGAGTGACTTTTCGAGAGTGAAATCGGTCTGAGTGACGAGATTCTCTCGTCTGGGCTGCATCAATATACTTACATGTTACATCTGAAAATGAAACAAACTATGCATTTATTGTGACGAAAGGTTTTTATATTAATTTATATTAGGTTAGTTTACAAAAAGTAGGTGATGTTTTATCTGTTTTCAACTCACACACCACTTTCGAGCATTCTATCAGCAAAGATTCAGTAAGTGCTGTTGAGTAAAAGTAAAAATCGGAAGCTGTTTATCACCCTATGATAAATCTCATTTATTATTATTTTAGACCAGTTTGTGAAGGACCAATGAATATTAACGTGAAGCGGTTGCATCTTCATGGACCAGTCGTCAAATAACAACTCTTTTTTTCAGCTGTCGCTTATTATTTCAGCTGAAATTGACAATACTTATGTAACATTAGGCATAATTTCAGGAATAAGCAGCACCCTATTGGGATGTTCTGACTGAAAACCAAATTATAGTAGCCATATACCATTGAGAGTAATTTCAACAAGGGATGACTGAAAAATTCAGTAATAGGGAACGATAGATCAAGGTCGTTTCGTAATAAGAGATTGATGGTCATGAATGTCCTTATGTTAATATCTATGGAATTAGAAGTTCAGGCTAAAAAAGCCTATTGTTGGTTCAGAATTTTGGTATTGTTATCCCCTAGATACATAAAGGTACCTATACCGAACTAATTAAGTAATACATAAAAACTAAATCATAAAATTTCATCCCTATGATAAATATTTAGTTGGCCTATTCCTAGTTGTTTGATTTTTAAATGTGAAGGAAGAGCTGAATATTTGACCAATTAATATTTCCCATATTGTGGGGGAATTTTTCTAGATTTGATGATCGATAGTTGCTTAGTTAGTAAAGGACTCCACTAGGAACCAAGAAAATAGAGAGAAATAAATAAATTTAATTTATTTCTCAACATAAAATGTGGTTTCTCTACGACTGAATAGTGAACTTCCTATATCTTGTTAATTATTTCCTTTTCCAATATCGTCCAAGTCAAAATGAGATTATCTAGCGATTCAGAATTTCATAAAATAGAACAGCAAAACTAAGGAACCTTTAACATGTGATAAGATCCTAACATTTACACAAAGGCAAGTTGCGTATTTTCAAGATAGCTAGGTACTCTCGTAAATCATCCGGGATGCGACGTTGTCAAATTTAGGTTTTGCCAAAGTTGTGAAAATTCTACACACCACATAATGGACCAAGGGATGACCCCCTTCGATGTTACCAACTATTTGGAAAATTGGAGAAGGATCAAGTGGTGTAATTGAAGTCGGACAGGTAAGGACCAGACAGTTGTGTATTGGATACTCACTTGAACAGGAGTAGATATTCGAACAGTTCATTGACCAGTTATAGTGATAAAGATTAGCGAACAGTTCAGGGTCAATTTGAGTGATACGGAGTGTTCAAGTATTGTTAATTTTGTCGTGATTTTTGTGATAATTATTTTATAAAGCCTGTGTTTTATCTATGAAATGAAACTTGTTTTTAAACTCTAATTATAAATTTATTAAATTATTTACAAAACGTAAATACAACGATTCTAATAATAATCATCTGTCAACGATGTCAACTACTGACAATGTTGCCACATACTCGTTAACTAAAATAGACCTTGACCAACAGCGCCACCTATAATATCTAAATATTATAACACCTTCCTCTTTAAAAAAACTTATATCTAATACAAATAAAAATCTTTAAACTTGTCAGGCACTTTCCTAACACGTTTATTATCAACATTATCTTGAGGTGGTTCTTGCGTACTATCACCACCATGATCTTCATCACTTAAATTATCAAAATCACATGTTTTAAATAAAGGCTTGTTCAATGACTTTTTAAGAAAACTACTGTTTCTCCTATATAGGCTATTGTAATCATCTCTTACTAAATATGATCTGGGATGAGTCAAAACCTTTTCAATTCTAGCTGGAACCCAGTAATTTTCTTTTCTTAATACAATATTTTCCCCCTGCAAAAAATCAGGTTTATAATATGCAGATCTATCATAAAACTGTTTATCAATAAGTCTTCTCTTTTCAATTTTATTTTGTATATCCTTAGTGTCTATATGTACAGGTTCTAACTGTGAATCACAAACAGGTAATTTAGATTTAAGAACACATGACATAAGCATCTGAGCCGAACTTAAACCTACTCCTAAAACTGGTGTGTTAC